CAGCCCCAGCCCCCAGCCCCAGCCCCCAGCTTCGGATCCTGGAGCTTAGCTGCCTGAACTGCCCCTGGAAGTCCCCACCCCACCGGGGGCCAGGCCTGCTCTCCACCCGGCCCCTGGATGGCCCCGAGTCACTCCCCAGGCCTCGTGGAGAGCCAGGCCTGCCCTCTGCCTCCCTCCCTGCACCTTCCCTTGGTGTTTGGGGGAAGAGGCAGGGAGAGAGGGACTGGCCCTGGGTGGGCAAGTGCCAGGTGCCAAGCCCCTGATAGTGGCATTCACACGTCATTTGTTCTCCTCTCTGAGGCCACCCAGCCAGGCACACCATTGGGCACTCAGATATCAACCCTGCCTCACCCAGCCCCTCCTCATCCTGGGGCCACCGCTGCGAATGCAAACGGGACTGGTCGCTGTGCTGGGGGTCCTCAGTCTAGGGTGGGAGATGGGGCCAGAAACTGGCAAGGAGATGGTCAGGGCTACAGAGGGGCTGCGTGTGCACGTGTGTGCAAGGGTGTCCGTGTGTGTATGCACGGGTGCCTGTGTGAGTGTGCATGGGTGCCTGTGTGCATGTGCATGCCTGTGTGTGCACGGGTGCCTGTGTGCCTGTGTGTGTATGGGTGCCTGTGTGCGCATGTGCATGCCAGTGTGTGCATGGATGCCAGTGTGTGTGTGCATGCCTCTGTGTGCATGGGTGTGCGTGCGTGTGCGTGTGTGTGTGTGTGTGTGTGCATGGGTGCCTGTGCATGAGTGTGCATGCATGAAAATACTTGCATGTGTCGGGGTGAAGCCCAAGTCTGGTCTGGGACTGAAGGAGGGCTTCCGTGAGATGGCAGTTTCCCAAAGGGAGCCCATGGATAAGGTGGAGATTTCCAGCCACGGGGCAGGGAGGGGCACTAGAGGCACAGGCCACCTATTGCAGAGACCCAGGGGAGCCCCAGGGAGCCTGGTGCAGGGGCCTATGCTGAGTGCTGTGGCCCAGCAGGAGTAGGGAGAGCAGGCTGAGCACGCTGCCGACCAGGGGCGGAGTCAGCAATACCCGGACCACCGGCGCATTTGCCCTGCATTC